CTGGGGCCGGTTGCACCAGCTGGACGTACACCCGGTTGTAAGACTAGGCTGGACATAAATGGCGCTTTAAGTCGTGCGTAGAATTTATACCCGTTGCACCATCTCGGCGTAGTGCTACGTCTGACACTAAATCTTACGCCTAGTCAGAGGTAGGTGTAAAGTGAAAAGTCATGATTTGCTCGGACATTATTCGTTTTTAGGATTCATGTCTGTTAGTTAATTATTACTGCAGACATGACCTGTAATGTTTATGGTCTTTTCGGGCAGGATAAGCGATATCAATTGCAAAGCTCTGTGCTATCCTACCACACTGTCGGCATTGAATACAAAATATATTTCTGTCAAGCATGTAATAATTATGCAGTAAAATATTACATATGAACTTGGATTATTAAAAGAAAATGAACCATTTGACATCTTGCTTGGAAGGAGAGTGTGCTTGAAAATATTTCACGTCTTTAAGCTATATCTATAACTGAGGGAGAATGTGTCGGCGTGGACCCGCATTGTCTACGCCGGGCGTAGTTGCGCCTGATCGTAGTTTCAGTTGGTGCAACAGGTGTAAATATTTATCGTAAAGCAGGACGTTGCAAAGCCCAGCGTAGGGCTTACACCCAACGTTTTTACGTCTAGCTGGTGCAACCGACCCCTGAAGACTAAGAGTCCACCAGTCATTACCTCGGCCCCGCAGAGGTTCATAATGGCAGATGGAACGATTCACCAATCCAGAGACCTGCAAAAGTTTCTGTATCACTGGCATGATCAAGAGTGCTTGCTGGATACATATATCCTGAAAGACAATCACCTCGCCTTTCCCCTTATTGCTGGGTTGGACTTCCTGAATGCCACTGGAGCTGTGTTGGAAGTGTGACAAAGCAGATATGGCTTAAGATCTGGAAAAGACTATACATATTACCATTTCCTGTCAGCACAGGTGCCAGCAAGTCTGTATACACCCTCGAGTCAAGCTCATTCCCTCACAGCTGCTAAATTGAATTTATACTACGCCATACCAACAACTGGCAGACTTCCCGAACTCATGTCCTTCACCCCAGAGACTACACAATGGGACTCTGACAATCAGGAAGAATTGAGGCAGTTGATCTCCAACTGGCCACGCACCACTTCGAACATCCTGGGTAAAACATCAGTAGTACAACACAAGATTACTTTGACTGACGATATACCTATCAAATCCCGGGCATACAGAGTTTCACCCCTCAAAAAACAGATCATCGAGGAACAAGTTGACCAGATGATCCAGGACAACATCACTGAGCACTCCTTCTCGCCTTGGTCGTCACCCGTGGTCCTGGTCCCCAAACCTGATGGATCGTTCAGGTTCTGCGTGGATTACAGAAGGTTAAACAGTAAGACCGTACCGATGCTTACCCAATGCCTCTGATTCATGACATCCTAGAATCCCTGGAAGGCGCCTCCTGGTTCAGTGCATTGGATCTGCGGTCCGGATACTGGCAGGTGGAGATGGAGGAGGCGA